AAACAATTGACAAAGATTCTGGTTTGAAATAAAGAAATGTGGAATATGGCATGAAAGTGAAGTGAGCTATTTTTCTATTTCCTGTAAGATACATATTTTTTCACCTCGTCTGGTGAGTTTAACCCACCTCAGTTTTAATAGATTACTTAAAATCTCATCTTCAGTATATGAAATTGTAAATTTATGTTATTAAAATCTTACTTTTTCCTTCTTTTTCCCTCTTAGGACATTTGCTACAAGATCCTATTGCACCCACCAACTCCACCTGCCAACATTATGTCTGCAAAACTTGTAAAGGCAAGAAAATGATGATGAAACCTTCATGTAGCTGGTGCAAAGACTATGAGCAGTTTGAGGAAAACAAGCAGTTAAGCATCCTAGTGAACTGCTACAAAAAACTCTGCGAATATATAACACAGACTACATTGGCACGGGATATAATAGAAGCAGTCGACTGTTCTTCTGACATTTTGGCTCTGCTTAATGACGGATCATTTTTTTGTGAGGAGACAGAAAAGCCCTCAGATTCATCCTTTACTTTGTGTTTGACACATTCCCCTTTACCTTCAACCTCAGAACCTACAACTGATCCTCAAGCTAGTTTATCTCCAATATCTGAAAGCACCCTCAGCATTGCTATTGGCAGTTCTGTTATTAATGGTTTGCCTACTTATAATGGGCTTTCAATAGATAGATTTGGTATAAATATTCCTTCACCTGAACATTCAAATACGATTGATGTATGTAACACTGTTGACATAAAAACTGAAGATCTGTCTGACAGCTTGCCACCTGTCTGTGACCCGGTAGCCACTGACTTATGCTCCACAGGCATTGATATCTGCAGTTTCAGTGAAGATATAAAACCTGGTGACTCTCTGTTACTGAGTGTTGAGGAAGTACTCCGAAGCTTAGAAACTGTTTCAAATACAGAGGTTTGTTGTCCTAATTTACAGCCCAACTTGGAAGCCACTGTATCCAACGGACCTTTTCTGCAGCTTTCTTCCCAGTCTCTTAGCCATAATGTTTTTATGTCCACCAGTCCTGCACTTCATGGGTTATCATGTACAGCAGCAACTCCGAAGGTAGCAAAATTGAACAGAAAACGATCCAGATCAGAAAGCGACAGTGAGAAAGTTCAACCACTTCCAATTTCTACCATTATCCGAGGCCCAACATTGGGGGCATCTGCTCCTGTGACAGTGAAACGGGAGAGCAAAATATCTCTTCAACCTATAGCAACTGTTCCCAATGGAGGCACAACGCCGAAAATCAGCAAAACTGTACTTTTATCTACTAAGAGCATGAAAAAGAGTCATGAACATGGATCCAAGAAATCTCATTCTAAAACCAAGCCAGGTATTCTTAAAAAAGACAAAACAGTAAAGGAAAAAATTCCTAGTCATCATTTTATGCCAGGAAGTCCTACCAAGACTGTGTATAAAAAACCCCAGGAAAAGAAAGGTTGTAAATGTGGGCGTGCTACTCAAAATCCAAGTGTTCTTACATGCCGCGGCCAACGCTGCCCTTGCTACTCTAACCGCAAAGCCTGCTTAGATTGTATATGTCGTGGCTGCCAAAACTCCTATATGGCCAATGGGGAGAAGAAGCTGGAGGCATTTGCTGTGCCAGAAAAGGCCTTGGAGCAGACCAGGCTCACTTTGGGCATTAATGTGACTAGCATTGCTGTGCGCAATGCCAGTACCAGCACCAGTGTAATTAATGTCACAGGGTCCCCAGTAACAACGTTTTTAGCTGCCAGTACACATGATGATAAAAGTTTGGATGAAGCTATAGACATGAGATTCGACTGTTAAATCAGTGGGTCTTTAAACCTACCTCTGGTAGGGAAATAGCTACAGTTTAAGGCAGCTATGGGTTTGTTGGTTTAACTTGCCGGAGCTCCTGCATATAGATCACTTGTATCAAGTGTTTTCATTGCTAAGTTATATGTGTTAGTGTCGGGGAAATAGTTTGCAGATAATGGAGGAGTAACCCTACAACTATATGTCCTTAGTTCTTACAGAACCTCATAGTTTTGAGAACAAATTCTGATGCAACTGATTTATACAAAACGAACTTTGGCAAGGAAAATAACATTAACCTCATTGTTTATGGTCATGCTTTGTGCATAATCAAAGTTTATGATTAAATGTAAGGAAGTGGTATCTAGTCAGTCCATAAAGATTGTGCTAAGTTTTTGTGAAAAAGTAGCCATTAGTCTGTTCAGGAGACTCAGTGCAGCTTTCAGGTGCCATTGATGTTTTCCTGTTGAAAAGCTGATGTGTCCAGCTCAACCTTTGTGCTGACATACCATTTCTGATCATGAAAATTGGCTACTGGTGTATGTAGCAGTTCTTAAATCAGCAGTATTATGAAAGAAAATTTGCCCCTCATTAGAATGTTGAAGAAATCTGCCTTTAAAAAGTGAACAAACTGAAATTCTGTCAGACTGCAGATGTTTAGCTGTTTATGCTACAAAATTCTTGGGAGTTGAGCCTATTTTTTAGTTGTCTGACTCATTTCTAGAGAAAAAAAAATCTTAACCCTTTCTTCACTATGAGCAATGTTCTAATTAGATAAATGAAGTGGAGAAGAGCAGTTTTATTCTGAAGGTAATTGAATTTAGACGATAGGGTGTGACAATTTTTAAAAAATTATACAAGTTTTATTTAGAAATTGGGATGTATTTAAAATAATTTTGGAATAATGCCCCAAAACATATCCAGATTTATGCATTATACTTATTGCTATTGGCCACTTTTTTAATTTTTTTTTTGTTTCCTCTAATAGTCTGCTACAGACTTTATTTTAATTTTTTTTTTTTTTTTTTTAGGGTGCTATTTGTTATGAAGCCTTCTTTGTAGAGGCCTAATAAAAATGCCTTTTTATGAAGCCTGTGCATTTAGGTAGGTTTGAATCTAGGATTTTCTTTAGAATGCCCTTTTGCATGTAAAGCACAAACTATGTTTCAGTTTAAATACACTTCTTCCCTTTAATTTTTATGGGGAAGACAAGTGAGTCACAAACATTCTGTTGAAGGGAAATCTAGTCAGTTGCTTAAAAGAGCACAGCGCAAATTAAACAAGGACTGACTAGGTTGTAAAGAAATGACTTTATGATTTAGAAGAGTTGCTGCTTTGGCAGTGCTTATTTAAAGAAAAATACTGCTGGAAAATTTCCAATTTCTCCTTAAACGTTCACCATCTCACATGAGATCTGATATATGTTGAAGTTATGTTTTGATTTGGCACACAGCATGTTCAATGATGGTTACTCACCTAGTACAAGACGTGGAGAAGAAACCTTTGGACACAGAGCAGATGACACCTCCTTCTGTTTTGTAGTGTATCCTGGTGTCATTTTCTGTGAATGTGGTCAGGTAGAGTTTTTGTTGTTGTTGGGCTTTTTTTTTTTTTTTTTTTTTTCCTGGTCTCTTTTGGTGGGGTGGGGGTGGGCTGAAGCCATAGGAAGAAAAATGTGATGTATGTGTCCAGTATGTACTATTTTGTTTTGTTTTGCAAGAAGAGTTGAACTATTTTTGATAACAAGAGTAAATGGTGGAAAATGCTTCTTAGTTGTCTTGTCTTTATTTGCTTTCCAAGTTTTGGAATTTTATTTTTAATTCTTCTAAGTGTTAGCAGTGTCTCATGAAACATGTATTTGCCTAAAGTTTGTAACAGTTTTGTGTTGAACCCAGATGCCCTGCTATATAAACTTGTAAATCTGTTCTTTATTCACTAATTATCACTGCAAAATGACTAGAAATGAGATTGTACACATGGATGATTAGGATATATTTTGCAAATCTCCCAAACTTTCCTAATATTATGATCTTATAAATCAGAGTACTTTATTGCTTCCCAAGTTTGATAATCTTAGTTTTGTGTTTTTTTTGATGCATGGGAGGTTGGCAATATAGACAAAGTGGAAATCATTAGTATGTGAGGGCCTTGATTGTTATGTAATATTGCCAATGATAAATTCAGGTTGTTTTTAGTACAAGTTTCTCTTTTTTATGCTGGTATTCTCACTGCCACCTTTTTGGAAACCTGTATTACACCTTAAATCTATCAATAAATGTTAGTTTTCTAATTCTATGTTGTAGAATACTGAGGGGGTCTGGGTTAGCATGTTCTGAATGGCCTATATTATATACATTTGGGGAAGAGTAGTTACAGTGCCTTGATTTCTACATTGTTTTTCTTTATACCATGAATGATTTAGGAAGGCTGACCAATGGCTAACTGGGGATGATTAAGAAATTATTACTGAAGTAACTGGATTTACTTTATCAGGATTTGAAATCACCAAAACAATAACAGCATTTAATGTATCTTCACTTGTTCGAGTCTTTGTTATTAACATAAATGATCAAATGATCTTTTCATCTTAGGTTATAGAATTTTAGAGCTGACAAGTTTTTTCTTTTAAGTTACATTAAGTATACATTTCCATGCAGAGGCGTAATTCGGTCCTAGGATAAAAAATTCCTTTTATTTCACTGTGTTCTTAGTTTTCTTAAAACAACTCTGTGGTGACCTTGTGGGAGAAAAGTAAGTTTTCTAACATATGGAAAGTAAAATTTCTTTTCCCATCTTATAGGTAACATAAAATTCTTTAGAAAATACTAAGTTCAAAGTATAGTATCGGAATCTAATACTTGGATAGTATTTTAACTTTTCTCTCTCCCTTTTAAAAAATTATGTTTTTAGGTACCCAAATAACAATTAAATAGTTTTAAAATAATACATTTAAGGCTAAAGTTCCTTTTGATCTCAGTGAATCCCTCATTCTCAAACTCTGGTCTTCCTCCCTGACAAAAGTCCCCAGAGGAAATCAACCAGTATGAGGTGTTATCCTTACAGATATTTCTTTATAGTTTTCCCAGGGGTTCAAAGAGTTATTCTCTTTGAAACTCATGCTTGTGTACACTGTTACTCTTCCAAATATAAAAATGAGTTTTAAGTGTGATTAAAACCAAAAGCGTGTAGTCATAATCTTAGTGAACGTGATTCATATTTGACAACTTGTCTTTATTTAGTTTTGCAAAAAGGGAAAAACAAAAAAGTTAAATCATGCAGGCTTCTCCATCCAAACACATCTTAACATTACCAAAAGTTGAGCAAATTACTTATCTCATTTGATCAATCTAGAGTTTTTTAAACACTTTGAACAGTACACATTGACATAGATAAGATGCAGGGAAAATACAAAGAATTTTATTAGTTCAATTACCTTGGCAATTAATATGCTATAAAACTCATTTTTAATTGACTAGCATTAAGATCATGATAATCCTCAACTTTTATCAAGGAGCCTCGGTATTGTAACAACTTGAAATTTCCAGTTGGGCAGTAATGATTATATTCAGCATGATTTTTACCATAAAGTCAAATATATACTATCTTAGTTCCTCAGAATTTACATTTCTTGCATTCAACTGTTTAGAAGGGAGTACAGTGAAACACATTCTTATGTCTGAAAATGTGATACTTGGGGTAACCTAAATTAAAATAGCCTTATCTTGAATGATAATGGTAGTTTTATAATAATTACTGACTTTTGAAACCAAATATTGACCAAAGTGAAAGCAAAAAGACTTTAGTAAGGAAAAACAAGGTAAAAAGGTAAAGCCAAATAGTCAAAAAAAAAAAAAAATCAAACGTTTATCAGAAAGCAATTTTTACTTTTTGCTGAGTCTTTGAAATAGTTTAAATCATTGTGGATAATAAAACCTTTAAACCATATCTGGCTTCTAAAAAAGGTATTCCTTTTTAGTATTTTTTTTAATCTGAAAAAGTTAATTGCTTTTCCATGGTAAAGGTTGAATGGGATAAATGGTAAATTTCATGTATTACATAAATACTTTTAATCCTAATAATTTACCAGTATGTTCAGGTTATTGCATGTAGTGTTTCCTAAAAATGTCACTTTTAAGCTTTTAGTTTTTCTTTGTGAACTATTAGATACTGTTTTAATAGTTATTTTCTCTAACAGTTAAATGGAAGATCAGTTCTGATTATGAAGGTAAAATAACAGGAAACTGGAAGGATATTGACAAAGATTATAACTATTACTGTACCTGTTTAAGTTCTGTTCTCCACTTTTTGCTTACCACAGCTCTGAGGTTTGATTATTTCATTTTTTGGCCTTCACACCAGCATGGGGGACCAAGATGGGGTCGGAAGGAAAGCTATGCTGACATTCAGGACTTGGGGTTAAAAAATCCAGGGGGAAAAGTTGATGACTTTGACAGAGATAGATACTAAACAGTTTCTTACACTATCAGAAATTTCCATCCTTTTTATAGTTTATCTTCAATTTTTATCTTTAAGGATATTGCAGGATTTGGCTGCATTGTGACATGCTGAAATGTAGAATTCTGTAATGAACATATCCGTGACTACAGTAAACATGAAATAGCTTTCTTTTATGGGTAGCATCACTGGTTTCTTCAATTTTTGTGATTAATATTGAGGTGGATAGAATATTTGGAATAGTTTCTTTTCAATGTGAAAGAAAAATGTTTAGATTGAAGCCTTTACTGTTGGCCTAGACTAATATCAAGTGATAAATATGTCTAGTAGAGAATAAATCAGTAATTCTCTACAAATATTAGATGAGTTAAAGGAAACTTTTTTTTCAAGTATGAGTCAAATTCTATATTTGTCTTCATTTAAGAAGTTTTTTCTTTAGGTTTTATATAAGATCCATGGTCAGGATGGGGAGGAGATTATTCAGAGTTTGCCAACAAGATTGGAAGGCCCAGTGGTTATGATACCTGAGGATGTAAAGTGACTAGCAGTTTGGCAGGTCATTGTGAAGTAATACATTAAACCAAGTAAGTTCAAGATCTTTGAACTGCAGTACACACATAATTAAAAGAAGTCTCTGAGATGTTTTGGCAGTGCTTTTATTACCAGGGCTAATTCAGTTCTGGAGGCCCTTAATGCTTTTACAAGTTCCAGAATTTTTGATTTGTTTTCTGCAAGTGAAGGTTTCTTCTGGGTTCCATGGGAACCCTGAGGGGCCTCAGGGATGCTGGACAACAGAGGCAGCTCCTGCTTTTGTGCAGAGAACTGTGTGCTTGGTACTTTCTCCAAGAGAGCCTTGGTACATTCAGGGGTGAAGAGTGCTGGTTCACAGACTTTGGAAGTTGAACATTATATTTGCTTCTGAGGAAAAGCTCTGTAAGAGGTTTGAGGCAAATTGGAAGAATCTCCCAAATTGAGTATGTATATCCAGACTTGTTGCTTAAAAATGTCTTAAAGTTCCTAGTGCATATACACACTTGCAGAAATCAAAGCCTTTAAAAGCAGTATGCAAACTAGAGCATCTCTTCACAAGAAAAAAAATTTTTTTAAATATCTTTCAATATGTAGACATTGACGATTATTCTTCATCCACTGACTGAAGCTTTCCACATTTCTCTGCAAGGCTTGAGGTTACTATTTTATTACCTTTGTTTCCAAGTTCAGAGGGAGAGGCAGGTTCCTCAGTTTCATAATCTTCAAAAGTGCTGGAAAAAAAAAGTGAGTTACCGATTTAAAAAATAATGTTTGGGTAGAAGTCAATATGGCAAACTAGAGACTGAAGACCAGCTTGTAAAAGTACCTTCAGTTGCTAAATGACAAATTACAAACAACTGAGCCACCCTGGAGGAGACAATACTGTGGAATAAAAAGCATTCTTTTCCCTGTTCCTTAAAACCCAAGTTCATGTTAGAATTTGTTAAAAATGTGCTGTATCAAGGTTTTTCTATGGGCCTTGGAGGAATGAGAAGATGAATGATGCTAGGTTAAGGAGGTCTGAGGTCCATAAAGTATGAGCTTTAGATGAATGCTTTCATTGAAGTGGCTTCCATGCAGAGTGAGGAACTTGATCTCAAATCTCAAAATTGTTTTATAGTTTCCATGGCTTCCAAGAAGTATATTTAGGATGTGAAAGTGTATACATAGAGCAGACTAAAACCCATTCATGGATTTCCTTCCATTCTTTGCAGAATTCCACAGCATGTTCCCTCTCCCCGTTAGAGGTTACTGTTATTCTTTGAGTTTCATATTGTCCAGGCTACCCCTGAAGGTAGCTTTAGACAGGGATGACAAAATATTTTATATCGTGAGAATGGTGGCTGCTTGAAGTACTAAATATTCTAAGGCTACATCTGTGCCCAGAAAAAATGTACATGATTAATTAGCAATGTCTGTCATAGTATTTGGCATCACTGGCTTAGCCTTGTTACCCTTTGCACAACACCTGTGCAGAAATTTCTGGACATACAGTACCTTTATCAAAAATGTACTAAGGCTGGCAAGTGAAGGAAAATATGCTGAGGTGGGTATACCCAGTGCATGGCACCTATTCAGTGAATAGAGGAAGCAGTAAGGAGGATAGCATTGAGAGTGAAGCAGGGTTAATGGTAGAGCCTCCATTTCTGGGAATAGAAATCTCAAGTTAATTCTAGCAATGCAATGTCAGACACTGACTGCTTATTGCATGTCATAGTGGAAACATTTTCTTCCCCTTGGTGCCCTAACCTGTGAGCTCTTAATGTCTTAAACACTTCAGTGCAGATCTGGGAATAAGTTAAAGAGTTAATTCTGAACTGAGGATCATTCAGTAAGTGAGCTTTTGTTGCGAAGTATGAGCCAAATACTAGGAATACAATGTGAAAAAGACTGAACCAGAGCTTTAGCCTAATGGAGGCCATCTGGAATGGTGGTTAAGTGATGTAGCTTTAGAGCACTGACTTTGGAGTCAGACTTCAAAATCAGGTTCCAATCTCAGTTTCATCACTTAATGCGACCTGACCTGGTATTAACCTCTCTGCATCAGTTTCCTCAACTAATGATGGTAGCAGTGACTACCCTTCATAAGGGCTGAGTGGAGATGAGGTGAGAGGCCCTATATAAATTAAACTCTTGGAAAATGTTAGGTATTCTCATGATGGAGAAGTGCTAGGGCATACTGGAGGCAGCATGGTGACAATCCTGTATTGGGGACAGGGTCACAAAATTTTTGTGTATGTCGTTGGAAAATTTTTACAAAAGAATACATACTTTTTCCCACTGAAGCCTCCTGCCGGAACTGATTTTTAGCAGTGGATTTGATTGAATCTAGTATGTAAAGATGTTTCCGTGCCCTGTGTGTTGGATATAGTGGAGTGTTACCTGCATTTCTTTTGTACTTTCAAGGCACCAAGAGCAGTACTATGCACAGATTTTGGAGGAATCTTATGGATTCTGGTTCATTAATTCAGAACCTTTTGTCAGTGTCCTAGAGACTCCTCTTAGCCCAGTGGTTCTCAAGTGGGGTTGATTCCCCCTCCCAGGGGACATTCGGCAGTGTCTGGAGACATTTCTCACAAATGGATGGGTTCTACTGGCATCTACTGGGTAGAGTCTAGGATGTTGTTAAAAACCCTACAGTGTGTCAGACACCACCTCACAACAGAATCATTAAGCCTAAAACAGTGCTTTTATTGACAAACACTGTTCCAACTCCCGCCCCTTCAGACTAAGCTCTTCTCTTTTTGTACTTCCGGGCAATCAGTCTTTTTCATAGCTTTATCCACGAGTTGTCCACCTGTGGCTTCTAAATGTACGTGTCCAGCCTCAGCCTCTTTCCTAAGCTGGAGACTACCATGTATCCAACTGCCTACTATATGGCTCTTCTGGTATGATAGCATATACAAATCTGAAATTCTTTCCACACCCCTGATACTCTCTATTCTAATGAATAGCACCATAATCTGCCCACACCAAGCCAGAAACCTAGTTATCCCAAGTTCCTCTTAACTTCCCCTCTTCAAATTGAGATAGCCTGTTCTACCATGTTCAATACCACACGGATAGAGTCCTGCCTTTTCCTCTCCATTACCACTGATTTAGTTCAGGGCACCATACTTTCTTGCTAGGATTACTACAATAATTTTCTGACAATTGGTCTTCCAGCCCTTCACTCTTGTGTGGTACCCTCTGTTACTGCCATACTAGGTTATTATTTACTGTCAGAATGGTCTTGGGACCTGATGCCACTACATATTTTTCAGTGGCCTGTGGTGCTCTCCCTTTGTTTAACTTGTGCTCATTTTTTAATCTGAGATGTCATTTAAAAGGTTCCAGATTCTCAGTGCTTGAGCTACCACGATCTCTTATTTAGATGTCTGTAATAGCTTCATTTGTCTCCCTGTATCTGTTCTTGCACCTCTACCAATCTAGCAGTTATCTTCAATATAAGTGGAATTACATTACTTCCTTGTTTAACTCCTTTTTTCAGTAGCTTCCCTAGGCCCTGCATAATCTGAGCCCTGTTGATCTTTCCAGCCACATTTCCCTCTGTTGCTCACTATACCCTAGCAACACTGGCCTTTAAAAGTGTGTCCTCAACAGTTTCCTGCCTCAGAGCCATTGCACATTTTTCCCTCTGCAGAAAATATTTTTGCTCCCTGCTTTGTGCATAACTGTTTCCTTCTTAACCTTGAGATTTGCATCACCTCCTCAGGAAATTCTTCCCTCAGCACCCTAAGTTGTAAGTGCCTCTCCATTATTGGTTCACTCTGTTTCCTTCATAATAATATAATTGCCTGTCTTCCCCACTGGACTGTAAATTGTCCATTTTGTGACTTACCAGTTTCCTTGGGCTGTAGGATATAGTGCCTGGCACTAGGGACCCAAAATGAATTGTTGAATAAAAAGTGATATCCTAATGCTTTTGTGAAATGATGTGTTAAGTTGTAGGGGAAAGCTGGGGTCAGTTAAATATTTAGGGTGCAGAAGTCATCTTAAAGTCACTAAAGTCAGAACTGTAAGAGCCTTAATCTTTATCCTGCTCTCCAGGAATTCCTGAGCAGGGGAGAGTGTTAACTGATTCCTTCTACAGACCTCTTCCAGGTTTATTTGTCATGGGATTCTGGACTCGAAGGTAATTTTTTGAGGTATTCTTTATTAATTTAACTGACCATTTTTAATTAATTATTTTTTTAACACCTATGGCACCTGGTATTCCTAGGTGGTCTCCCATCCAAGTATTAGCCAGGCCCGACACCACTTAGTTTCCAAGATCAGATGAGATTGGGCATGTTCAGAGTTGCATGGTCGTAGACTAACTGGCCATTTTTGAATGAGTAAAGGGGTCAAAGGATTAAGGCAGAACTAATAGAGTTCACAAGCATTTCACTAGAAATCCTAGGTATCAAGTTGAGAACAAATTCTTTAACAGTATTAAGATAGTATTGCTAGCATAAGGGAAAATAATTGTTTATGTATTTTTGCTAGCAATATGAATGCCTTTAGAAATCTTTCTCTAAGTTTTCCCTTTCAGATGAACAATTTTACGGGTAAAAGTATTAAGGCTGATTCTGGAGATTCCTGGGATGGAAGTGTAACAGCTGGAATGAGCAGAAATAATGACTGGCATATATGTGGTCTGCCAAATGATTTGTATGCAGTTTCAGGGTATTGTCTGACAGTTGTAGTTTGATTCTGATTTGGGGATTCTGATTATTCACAGGGGTAAGGGGATAGAATATTTGATTCAAGGCTTCTCTCAGGAAACTTAAGACACATGGTGGCTAAAAGCATACAATAAAATGTTAAGTAGTTCTCTAATTTAGAGTCTGTAATGCTTTAGAAATAGGAGTGAATTTTACCTTTCTAATTTTAAATTAAAAAAAGGCATCCTAAGCCATTGATGTAAAATGGATTAACAAAAATGCTTGAGAAGTTGGATATTTGGTTCAATGAATTTCCTTGCTGACCCATTCAATGAGTAGAGAATTTTCTGTTTCAATTCTTGTTAGTTTCCTATTATGTACCACCCACTTTCCCACCTCAGAAAGTTGATCTCCCTTCATTTTTGATGGTTGAGGATCCCTTGCTGTTCCCCAGGGTTACGAGCCATCAGCTGGTTATTCCTTTTTATTTTAGATGTAGATAGTATAAACATTTGGGTTAAATATATTCTAATTATGAATTTGAAGGGGAGGGACAGGGTTTCATACATTTTTCTTACAAATCACAGTGCCTGGCATAGAGGAGGTACCAGTGAATATCTGGAAATAAATTAAAATTGGGCTTTGATTTGTTTTGTTGAATGCACAAAAAAATGAAAACATTAATTTTAGGTCTATAAAAAGGCTCTTTCCTGAACAGAGTAAAAGACTCAGAATTATTCTACTTTTAATATAAGTCATGCTTTGGAATATTAATTCCTCTCCTTTCTTCTCTTCCTAATCCCACATCCCAAAATACACACATGCTTTGTCCTTCCCCCTACTGTCCCATTATTCCTGCTCCTCTGCTAAATTCTCCCACTTCACTGAGAACAGTCGGGCTCTACACAACCCTTACTCCAGATTTGACAGTCCCTACATTCCTGGAAGATTGCTCTGGTGTGTTTCTGGCTGGCCTTCTTTGCCTACAGTGCCTTATTTTCAGTGCCAATGGAAGTAAATGTAGAACCCTTACGAAGAGTAATTTACATGTTTATATTTAATATAAAAGAAAACGCCACTTTAAA